CACACCAGATGTTCCGCGTTTGATTTTAGGCAAGATTTCAAGGAAAAATTTAAAACTGATATATAATGAGATTAGCATACAGCCGAGAAAATAACATATGAAGCTCTTTTCAAACAATTCTTTTCATATCCTAAAAAAAAAAAAAAAAATCTGGAAGATTTTCTTGAAAAATGAGGCATTAACTAAACACGGTTAAAATATATGTTATGTTGCCATTTAGTATAAATAAAGAAGGTTCAGAGTATCCAATAGTAACCTATAAATCTTTTTTCATCCAATTTTTCTGTGTATACAGAGGGAATTTTTTAGGTGTGCCGTGAATTACTTTGCAATACTGGTATTGATTTAATTATTACTTCTTGATTATTTAATTAATTTTGCTATATAGTGTACAACTTGCATGATCAATGCTTTATCAATAGATGTATTCTTTGTACCTTTATTATTTTTTCCCAACATTATCTTTTGATTTCTACAGACATTTCATAATTTTCATTCTGTGGTGCCAACAAATATAGTGCAATACTTTCAATGCATAAGTGATGCCAATGAAACAGCCCCAGCAGCATTTCAAAATTGGTATATCATGAAATTCTGAGGTGTCTTGGAAAATTATTAAATTTACATATCTGTATTAAAATTTTTCATCAGCTTTCAATATGCCTATATCAATTATGCTTAAGTGAATAAGTATTCTTGCATTGCAAATAATGAAATCCAAATGGAGAAACTGACTAGCTTTAAGGAATGATTTACATGTCAATATGATGACTATGTCTAGGCAAAGTCTGTGGAATATATAAAAAGAAATGCATTTTGAATTAATAGATCTGCAGTTAAAATAATATTAATTATAAAGTATAAACCAATATGTAGCAAGAGCATAAGTACTAAGTTATGTGTACTATCAAGTAGAAAAGATTAGGAATTGATGTTTTACTGCACAATATTCCTGAATATAGTTTAGTATAATGGATGTCTTTCTCTTCCTTAAAGATTTTTTTTTTAATTCAAAAAATCCTTTCCTTAAAATAAGTTATAACAAAGTAAATTGTTATAACTTACTTTATTATGCAAAAAAGCTTAAAAATATATATATTAATCAAGTGTTCACAATATCCGAATACCTCCACAATCAACAGCCATTAGCAGAGAGTTGTTTAGAAATCAAATATTATACGAAGATTTCTAAGTACATAATGTTTCTACTGATATATCCTACATTACTCAAATGTTAACTGCATCTTCAAATTTAGTAGCTGATTTCTATGAATCACAAATTAACTGAATAACATATGCAACCATTATAACAGCAAGTCTAGTTCCACAGTTACTTTAGCTTCAATTTGTTATTCAAATTCTACTTAACATCATAAGTCATTAATTCTTATCACTGTTTCTCACCCATTCGTGCTTACAAAAGCTGCTAAACTGTCTATGTAACTGGTGTGTGCACCTTATTATAAATAAGTATTTTGATAATTTATCCCTTTACACTCAGAGAAAACATTTACTTAAATTTACTATTTCAAGGTATATATTTAATTTCTTGCAGAATTATTTCAATATATCCAGCATATATATATATATATATATATACATACTTGCCAACCTATGACACTCAAAAATCAGGAGATTTTCCACAATGTTAAAAAGACTTTTTAAATGATAAAAATATAGTTTTTAATAATGAATTAACTTTAAATAGTTACTAAGTCTTAAATGCAAGTAAAACAAAAATACCTTAGACATAAAAAACATTTTATTACTTTCATCTTTAAAAAAAAAAAAAAAAGGCACTTTAATCGTTTTCATACAAATGTTTATGGACAGTGGCAGATTTTGCTCTCGTTAAGAAAGAAACTTCATAATTTTGTTCATAGCAATTGCCACGTAGGCCTGCTTTCGCTAATAAAAGTTTTTCTAATGTGTCATCACTAATATTAGATCTAAATTTAGTTCTCGTTTTCGCAACAACACTGAAAATCCTCTCACACTCCGCATTATGGGGAACTGTCAAGATGGCCAACATAATTCTAGAAAGTTCACTATATTTTAAAATTCCATCAGCACCTTTCAATTTTCCAATTAACCTCCACTGGGTGTCAATCCTAGCTGATTTTATAACTTCATCCAAGTTTTCTAATTGTAAACTAAAAAATTGCGACTGAAGTATATCAGTAGCAACATCAATATCTATCTTTCATGACTAAACGAAGTAACACAGGAAATCTGTTCAAAAAGTACCTTATATCAGAAAAAGATGCATTTGCTAGAGCAGAAATATCAGCAACTTTAGCATGCAAAATCACTTCATCGTTGACTGGAAATTTATGTAGTGTGTAATCACATACTCGACAGAAGTAACTTCTAACATGAAGGTAAAACTTACTTTTGTTTTCTTCTGAAAATTCTTCCACTACTTTTGTAGTTGCAGCTCCTATTACCAAATCTTCATCTCTCTTCTGATTTTCTGTTTCACCATAAATCACATCATATATAGAATTACAAGACAAAACACAGACTGGTTTTACAAACTTTGATAAAATGTCTTTAAACAGATCATAAATCATTGATTGCAAAACATGAATTAATGGAATTCTGCTTTGTAGAATTGTGTTCAGAACATCGAATGCTGGCAAAATGAATTGTAAAAAAAGCAAAAAGCTTTGTTAAGGTCCGAAGAAAAAAACATAAATATTCGTTCTTCACAAGATAAACTTTACAGTAATCGGAAAATGTTTCGTGTGTTGAGCAATTTTTTTTTTTTTTTTTTTTTTAAATGAGAGAAATTTGTATCAGCTTTACACTTATATTTTGCAGTATTATTTTGAGAACTGCCAGTTGAATTGCTGAATGATGCAGAAATTTATTTTTCTCAAACCCATTTTTAACAATGGAAGTAGTAACTACATCTTCATTTACTTTAGGTACTTTATAACATTCAATAGAGCCTTTTATCTTAACTCTCGAAGCATTTACTTCTCCTTTAAAAAATGCAAGAAGTGGGTTCCATTGATCGAGGATTCTAGATAAGCATTTCTTTAAAGACAACCAGAGTGTACACACATGTTTCAAAATTTTTCTCATTTCAGTATTATGCAGCTGTTCGAACTGTTTCAATTTTTCCTTTCTTTTAGAACTCCTTTCAAGATAATAATAAATATTCAACAATGTGTTCATCCACATTTAATGGTAAAGAAGCTGCCCTTTTTTCAGCTGCTAAATTTAAGAGGTGACAGGTGCACCTCATAATCTGCAAATCTGAATTTGCCTTTCTTAAGATGCCTGCAACACCAGTCATCAAGCCTACCATTACTGGTGCATTATCGGCACCAAGCGCTAAGCAATTATCCAGAGGGACTGCATTTTATTTTAAAGTTTTAATAATTAGCTGTGCTGTATTAAAGCCTGTCGAATGTCCTTCTAAAGTGGGGACAGAAAGTAAACTGCACTCAATTTCTGAAGACTCTGGATTAAAAAAAGAAACAACAATTGGATACAGTTTTGAATTGGTATTATTGCTTCCATCCGTAGTAGAGAGGCAGAACGGAGCTGTTTTAATGCAATCAATAACTGGAATATTTATTTTTCAAACCCATTTCTTTAACAATTGCACCTGTTTTAGTCCTTGCACTTGAGTATTTCTTAAGCGATTTCACTATCGGGAAATATTTTTCTAAATAAAGCTGCAGCATGATCCGATGCATTTCAGTGGCAAGGTTGTGCTTCCACTAAAAAAAAAGGCAGAGAACAGACATTCTGCATTAATCACTTTTTGGTCTTTTGTTTCCGAAGAAAAATTTAATTCTTCTTTTTTTTTTTCGTTTTTTCAAAACAACTCATGTTGTTCCTTGTGTTTTATGTGTACGCACATGTTTGAGAACATCTGCCCCTTCCACCAAGCGAAATCGAAAAATTGCAACGACAGATGGTACACGTCGCAAATTTATTACATTTCCTTGAAGAAATAATGGAAGGAAAGTCAACTGTGTACGATTTTGAAACGTGCACGAGTATTTCACCTTTCTCGCAGACATATCAAAAGACGATAATTTCTAAAACTATTTCCTAAAGGCACGTGTACTCACACAACTCAGGACAAGATGAACGAAATAGCGAAAGAACATCCAAAGAACGGCCAACGGCCTTGAGCTTGCTTTATGCTCATTGGCTAATATATGCCAGATGACACGCAGTGGAGCTCGATGCCCATTGGAGAACTGGAAAACGACGTTTCTGGATACGTATGCTGTTTTTTTTTTTTTTTTTTTTTTTTTTTTTTTTGTTCATATAACGAAGTATTAAGCCAAGTTCCATAAAAATCGTGAGAAATATTAAGAATAAGAAAAAGGCGGGAGAAATATATTATAAATCGGGTTGGCGGGAGAGCGGTCGAAAATCGGGAGTCTCCCGCCTAAATCGGGAAAGTTGGCAACTCTGTATATATATATATATGGAAGCGCTGTCTTTTAGCACTCCTTTTATTCCCCTCCTTCAAATTTTTAAAGTATGAGGCTATTTTATATTCAGGCCAATACAACACAATTTTAGTTGTTCCCAATATAATAAAGATTTTATTATGAATAGGAAAAAAATTTATTTGAATTTGCAATCCAAGTTGGGAAAAAAGTGCAAAACTAAAAGACAGCTAGCCAGTTTTCATTATGTCAAACAATGTTTTGTTATTTCTAGTCTATAATGAGACTGACTTAATCAGATGAAATGAGCTCAGTAAACAGATTAGTTTCCCATATTTGCTGCATAAATGGAAATTTAGAGTCAATAAGGTAATAAAATTTTAATACAGGAACACACATTTTATTTTTTAATAATTTTATTAAATGTTATTAAAATAATGAAAAATATAAATACAGGTATTCAAATATATATAAAAAATAAAAAGGGTTTAACCCAAAATCACAAGATTTCTCTCAGATGAATGTAAAATATTTTGTTGATGAGAAATTTACAGATGACTACATGAGAACTAGAAGAAATTTGTACCAAAATAAAACAGTCATAGCTCTTGATGAATCGACTTCAGAAATAGATGATTTAAGTTAATGTGAATCTCCAATAATCATGGCATTATCATAGAAATTCTGTAAGAAAAGAAAGTATAAAAGGTTTTTATACAGTATTTAAAATAACCAAAAGACATATGTTGTACATAAGACATAAAATATAAGATGCCAACTAAGGCATGAAATTATTTTCATTATAAACGTATAACTAACCTGTTCAGATTTCACATCAATAATTCCAATGCTTATTTATTTATTTTTATTAAGAAACAAGACTTATGTCTACTTATTACTTACTACTAACATGGGTATTTAAAATATGCAAGTAATGTTTTTGAATGAATCTTATTCACAAAGTAAAACTTTATAGTTTCAATACACCTTAATATTATAAATTTCAAAGAATCAAGGTCGTTTCGTTTTATGCAATTGATAGTATTTCCTTCACATGTTTTCCAGTCCAAAGATTTAAATCGCTCTTTATGATGTTTTTTCTCCCTTATCCTCATTCTTTTTGTCTCTCTACTGCAAGTTCAAAGTTCATCAGTTTTCGATAAGCAGCTTACCTATATAACGATGTATAACTACACTCTAAACAGTGTATTTTTAATTTTTGATTTGCATCTTAAATTTTAATTATTAAAATATAAAGAGCTACAAATTAAAATACAATTAACTAAAAATAATTATTAAAATATAAACTTAAAAACTTATTCTGAACTTTTAATTTACATCTATTAGAAAAGATCAGCATTCTATTTCTACATTTTCTGAAGAATTACTCCTAACTCTATGAATCAAAAAATACTTTGAAATAATCTATTTCCTTTTACATTGGCCCCCACAGGGGCCATTGTACACTGATAATTAAAAGCGTGTTCAAAATCTGGCAAACGGGCTGTAAGCGCATGGGAGTTTTCATGGTCTTCTCCATGTTTAACAGAAATGCCAGCTAATGTCCCTTAATAGGTCCTCCACAGATGCCTCCCTAGCCAGATGGAACTTGTGTATAGCTGTAATCTAAATTATCCAATACGATCCACCTACATTTTCACATAACTAACAGCCCATGTGATTACAGGTGTGTCACTAATAACACAAATATATGGCAACCCATGTGATTCATGGGTCACAAAAAAAGTAATGTTTCCACTGAAATAAACTGTTAAAATATTTTAAATGCATGTTTATATATGTTTATTTGATCATGTAATTAATATTTTCAGCACATTTTGTTATTTTCACTGTACACAATATATAACATTAAATATACTGTTATGTGCAGCTAATAACAACACCTAACTTTTCATAACTAATAACAACACTTAACTAAGAAGATTTATCAACTATTTTATTTTAAGCTAATGTTGCCTTAATCAGATCGTAGATCAAAATGTGTCATGGTAAGGCTGAACAAAAAATTTTAGTTTATTTTCTCAATGCTACATATGTAACATATATTCCAGCATATAACATAAACCAATAATTTTAAACTACACTTTTAATTTTTTAATTATATTCTTCGGATGATGTGCACCCTTTTCTTTACATTTTTCCTTTTTCAGAAAGTTTACAAAGCAACCTAAGCTGAATATGTGCAATGCTCTTTTGAAGTCATTCATTTGAAGATTTTACCCAGCTCTTGAACAAAGGTATACTGAATTGACAAAAAATAAGGGGAAATGCTTGAGAATAAATAATTCTGCAAACAGGGTGGGTTAGAAATAAGGGGAAATGCTTGAGAGAAAAAATAAATTTGTAAACAGGGTGGGTTGCATTCAGTGCAGATGAGCACAAGAATGTTATTCTAGATTTTCAAGGAAAGGGGAACACAGTTTGGGGTAAGAACACACTTGCAACCTGAATGAATTTGCAGAAAGTTGGATATTTTCTCTTTCTCCAATCACCTGAAGCTGTGATTCTGAAGTGAATATCGAGAGCTTTAGCAAATCACATCTGCTTTAATTAAAATACAGTTGATCTACTGTTCCTTTTAGTAATAAATATGACTCCTGCCAAATGAAATAAACACAATGTTGGTTTCAAAAGCAAGTCATACAATTTGTGAAAGAAAATGAAATTGTGCTGCAGCAAGAATAGTTGATGTTAGTGAAAACTCAATATGCATGTGTGGAAGAAAAATGAAGTCACAATAATCAATATGCAAGAAGAAAATGTTGCAAATTAGGTCCTACAAAATTGTTAGAATGGATTGATTAACAAGGTACAGCATATGTTTATTTGCTTTAAAAAGGGCAATTTATTGCATGGAATAATTTAGTTCAAAAGAAAAAACAAAAGTTGTGCATCTGCTTCTGAAAGATTTGGACGACAAATGTTTAAAGAAGTATACTAAGTCCTATGAAGACAAAAAAAATTTTAAAAATTAATTACATTTACTAATCATACATTGGAAATATGGATAAAAACTTCAGTATTGTTTGATATATGATAAGAAATAAAACAACTGATGTGAAAAGAACAAAATGGTTCACATATAAAGATGACAAGTCATGAAAAATCTCACCTCACCATAATGCTTTCTTGCTTAGCAGACAGTAAAAAATTAAAATCCATGGTTATTTTTAAAAGGAAGATAATGTCAAAATTCAGTTTCCCAGATGATGTTTTTATCCATGTTCATGAGGAAGGATGGATAGATAAAAAAAGGGTAAAATTGCAGATATAAGAAATGTTTGACAAAAACATCTTGTTGCCTTAAAGAATCCAGAAAGTTTGGGACATACCATTTAAAAAATACGAAGAAATTGATGAAAGATTGTAACACAGACATGGTAATTATTCCAGGTGGATTAACACCGTTAGTTCAGCCTTTGGGTGTGTGTATCAATAAATCATTCAGAGAAAATTTAAAATGACAGTGGAATACATGGATGTTAGAAGGTGAAAAAACATTTATAAAAGGAGCCAAATGCATCACGAGAGTCTAGGAATAGCATGCGTAAATAATAAAAGCATGGAATGAAATTAAAACCAAAAAAATTCAAAAGTTATCTTTAAAAATGTAGTGCATCTAACAATTTAGATAGGATGGAAGATGATTATTTATTTATAGATCAGAGTAACACTGATGCGAAGATGAAACAGAATCCTATGATGTGCCTGAAGATATAAAGGAAGCTGGATAATTCACTTATTCACTTCTTCTAAATAAATAGCATTTAGGTACATGTAGAAATATTTTTATGCACCTTATTTTAAAATCTATCATTTTTATATCCAACATATAATGTGCACCTGCACATTTTGATCTTATTTTTTGTATTAAAAGTGTGCATTATATGCCAGAATACATGGCATTTTTTTAATTTTGGAATTTTTTTTAAATTTGGAAGCATGAAACTTTTAAACACTGTTAGTTGACGCTGGGTTCAAGTATGAACATGGAGGCTGGCTGCACTGGTTTTGTTTTTCCACCTGTGTATCATACTTGCAAACCAGTTTCTGTTAGAAAATCTTATAAGAAGTCACCTTTTTCTTTACTATATACTCATGGGATTTGCATTAATTAATTAGCTCATAATCTTTATGGAATTTTCAGTGCTTAAAATAAAACTGTCAAAGATATTTATTAAAAATTAATTAATTGAAAATTTAAGATTAATTTAAAATTTAATCCAAAAAACTTCAGAAATAAATTAAAATAATTTAAATCTCAAAATCTGATTTTAGGAGCTTAATTTTAACCAAAATTTAAGTTGTCGAAAGAATTTAAAAAGTACCCCAAAACTATTTCCATGCCTAATCTAATCTGTACTGAGATATAAAAATTGTGCTGTATAAAATTGGACAATAAAGAACAAATAAATAAATGAAAGAAAAAATTACATTATACTCCTTTTTTTATACTACTTACAAAGGAATTAAAATAAACTCAATTTTTGCATTATGGGAAAATAACTTGCATTCACCACAGCAACAGTTATACTTTATGGACCTTCAAAACTTAAGTAATAAATATTTTAATATTAACTTAAATACATTCATGTTCAACATTCCAAAATTAGCCAAAACTGACAGTTCCTACCTATAATATAGCACTATACTTGATGTAAATATATCTGTGCGTACATTTCCTCCACAGAGAGGAAATTCACATTCCTCAAGAAATTAGCAGAAGTCTCTGAAGCCCACCGGAACTTGAAGAACAAACAAAAAGAAAGATGGGTTTGATGGGAGGAAACAGCAATGCAAGGTTTGTAAATCATTAAATTTCCAGATGCAAGCTACTGATTGCTGTTAAAATCCAGTCACATTATGGATACATTTTGAAATTTATTATAGAACATGAATAAATTTTAAGAGCTTCCTTCAAAAACGGCCTATTCAGAAGAATTATGTGCATCGTTAAGCCCCTGACTATACAATATCCAACTTTGGAAAGCTCAAGTAATCAGAATATTGTAAATTTTTTTTTAATAACAAATTACACGTGATGCAAAGCTTAAGTAGTGTATGCAGAACTGCAATTCAGAGTGGCACTCATAACATCTAAAATATAAGCATCTAGATTTTAAGTAGAAACTATCATAATAACTCTTATTTTATTCTCATTACAATTCTTTTCGTATTGAGAAAATATAGAAATATTCAATATTAACATGTAGAATATTTTCTAAAATTTCTTTGTAGGATCATCTACTTTCAGAAATATTCTTTACACAAAACACTATTTCCAAATTATTATATTGATGCCTAACATTAAAGTCTTATAAACAAGATAAGAGAAATATAAAAACATTAATTATAAAAGTATACATAATAGTACAGTAAAATTTATTACAATTAAATATAGCAATTTGTACATACCATAATTTGAATTAGAGGCCTTGAATATAGTGAGTCACATTAACCATTCCCTGAGTAACTCATTGTGACTGGTCTTCTGTTCACCATTTGCGACTGGATATTCAGAACCGGAGGTTTACCAAAATTCTGATTGGCTATCATATAGGTAGGAACATTTACAAACTGAGGAATCTGATTTGTTGTAGCCTAGATAAAACAAATAGCCATGTTTAAGATCAAAAATCCGATTAAAATGAATACACTTTCACAAAATAAATATATACAATATAGAATCATATAATCAGTTGTCTGTTTTTCAGGCAAGATTGAAAATTGATTTTTCAGGCAAGGCTGAAAATATTCAAACAAATACTTAACATCATAGTAATCATAGTAATCTAACCATACTATATGTGACATTTTGTACTTTTGGATTAGGCACACCCCACCAAAATGTTTCAAATTTGTTGCCAACTCTGAACGGAGAACATTTGCTTTGGTATCTTTACATCTAAAGCACCAAATTTTTAAAATGAGAACGGGAAAAGTGACACAGGATGTCTTTCAGCAAGCCATATGTATGCAGAAGAAACCAAAGTCTGATTTTGTCAGATACAACAAAAAGTGCAGTTTGCTACAAACTGCTGTGCTAAGATGCTGAAATTCCCATAGCAAGGATCATAATTTGCAGTCACATAGCTTAAAATGTTGGAGAGGTGGAAAACTGTCTGGGAAGAATGCTGCTAAGCTCACACATTGATTGCTACATAAACACCTTTTTGCTTTATCAGCATTTCTTCACAATTTTTCAGTAAAGATGCAGATAATCAGAAAGCAAAATATTTTGATTAAGGAAGTTAATTTGTTTTATTACTGAATTTTTTTTAAGATTTTTTGCGCAGCTACTTTTTTTTAGTAATCACAGATTATAAATCTGCAAATTTTCCATTTTAGATAAATCATTACTTTTGAGCATTTCCATTGTCTTTTAATATTAATTTTGAACTTATATAGTTAACATCTGCAAATAATTTACTTATTCATAGCTTAAGGTACTCACTCTCAACTAAAATGCATTTTGTTACCGATTTTTTTTTTAATACATTTTATGCAATAGTTGTAAACTTGCTTACTTTGTTTGTGAACAATGACTGATTCTTAAAATTAACTCTTAAAGATTTATCTAGAATTAAAAATTTTAAATGTGACAACAAATGTACTAACAAAAAAATTCTTCACACAAATCCAAAATTTCAATTCTGGCTTTTTTCTTTCTTGTTAATTCAACAGCACATGATAATGGTGGAACATGATGATGATTTTAGCACAGGTATTAAATCTACAGAAAACTGAAATGAGAAGGAGAAAACTGAACTGCTGAGGTTTTCTAAACAGTACATTTATTTATTTAATTATTTTTTTATCTCATAAAAGTTTTATCTCATAAAAGAAACATAAAAGTTTCTTAAAAGTAATTTGCTTGAAAAATTATATAGAGAGAGATAAATGTATGTATGTGTGGTACAGTATTTTGATGAAATTTTAGTTCTTCATTTCTTCAAAAAACATTTTCTATCCTTTACCTTTTTACTCCCTATTAGTCCCTTGTCTCACCTTTGTAAATACTAAAAATATTTTTTAAATATATAATACTTTCATTCAACAAATTCTGATTAAATCATTCCTGAAATATGATTTGGTAATTTATTTTTGAATAAACAATTAATACTTTAAAAATTAGAAAAGGGGATATATAAGAAAAACCCATGAAAAAATTTACCTATAATCTGTTAAACTGACTAATTTTGCACAACTCTTGGTTCTGGGACGTGGGAATAATTCTGCCATATTATAGAAATAGTAATTAACAGATAATAATTTTAAAAATCCCATGCTTTACCTGATTAAATATCTGAGGCTGACTCACTGGAACACCGTTGAAAGCAAAATTCTGGAACAAGTTGTTTGAAGGCTGGAGGACAGGCATAGAGGTAATTATTTCAGATGTTTCTGAGTTTTGTACAGTGGAAGCCTGTCCTCTGTTATACAGCTTACCGGTGTTATCTTTAGGTGATGACAGGATAACATACTGCCCACTGGAGTTTGGGATAACACTATTCATATTTAATGATGAAGCATTCGTAGGAATAAACACATTTTGTACAAAAGAATTATTATTATGTGTTTGATTGTCCAATTGCTTTCCAGCTGTTATATTCATAACAGGACCAGCATTCAGTTCATTTCTATTCATCCTATTATAGCTCGAGAAAACCACAGGCAAAGTTTTAGGGCACAAAGTCTGGTATGTAGGGCTATTGTGTACAAAAGATTCCGCACTACTTGCAAAAACACCAGGTGAATTTGATATTGCATTAGATGTACTTGTGGAAGTTGAACAATTTAGAGCTCCATTCGACTGACTGGCTGCAATAGTACTGGACCTAATTACAGAATGTCTGGAATTATCTACACTGTATGCTCCATAAGAATTCACAGGTACTGAATTGGAAGTGGTATAACAAGGTCTTGTTGTATTTAGGGAAACAGACACATCAGATACCCTTGCATTCAAAGTAGGTTGATAAGGCAGTTGGGAATACTGAGAAGGCACATTATGAGATGACTGCTGCTCAGGAACAGGAGATCTCTTCTTTGGGGGATATACACAGCTGTCTTTCTTGTTTTTCTTGTTTCCACTTTTAACCTGGAAATAAATTCAATACCATCATATTTAGAATTCGGTCTTCCACGATTTTTTTTTTTGACACAACATTAATACTAATATCTATAAGTTGAAAAATAACATAATAATGATGTAAAAAGGCCTAAAATATTCTTAAAATGTATTAATCCTATAACAAACATTCAAAAGGGGGAAGGAATTCTTCATCTTTCAGAGTAAACAGAAAATATGCAAAATAATATCCTTACAAATAAATATATTTTGCTTAAAACGCATAACAAATGAGCACAGAAACTATGTGTAGATAAACTCAGATGAAATAAACACAAAACAAATTAAATATATTACTGGCTGAAAAATCATGACACAAGTTCTTTCTTGAGTTTGCCATGATATCTCTGGGTAATGAAGCAGGGTTTAGTTCAGAATAATATTATTTCAGTCAAGTTTATAGTGTCATTTAGAGATAGAAGGAATAAGTATTTTTAACTGCTATAGATTTTACTTGTGAAAAGGTATTTTTCTGCATCCTTCGGTCTATTGTGATTTACATATTATAATATAATTAGTGACTGGCATAATTTTTTAATTTACATTCTTTCACATTAACAAAAAGAACCCAAATACTTGTTATCATACATGAGAGTTGTCTAATAAGTCCATGTAAATTTAATGGGGAAAAAAAAATTTTTTTTTCATTTATTTCTCTACATAATCACTCTTAAGGTCATCTTAGACCAATTAATAAGCTCTGTCTCCACCCCCACTCTCACTACAAAATGTGATTTCTCCAAATCTGCTAAGCGGGCATTTGTTTATGGAAGATGACTTATGATGCAGTTTATTTCATCAGCATGGAAACATTTCATATTTAGGCCAAATCTGGAAAATATGAATGAGAACAATTTTCTATAATTCAAATAACTTTACAATTTTCTATAATTCAAATAACTTTATCACTGACATTTCAGATGAAAGAGATGCAGCATAGTGATAAAAAAAATTTCCTTACTAAACGTGACATTGTCTCAATTTCATGTTTCACGCAGAGCAGTAGAAATGAATGGTGCTGTCTGCTATAGCTTCTCTTCTGTACATCAGCAAAAATTATATGATAAAAAGAGGCCATGACCTTTCCTGCTAGGTTGGTAGCAATGGATTCATGTTTCATCAAGTGTTATAAAACAATGCAAAACTGACCTAGATTTTTTTTTTTTTCCTAAACCTTATTTAGGAACACTAAATTCTTGTTTTTTATCAACTGTTAATAAACACAGTCCCCACCTTGTGGACAGTTTCCTCATATGCAAATGTTTGTGTAAAATACTACATATCAGTCAAGAAGCATATGAAATCAGAAATCTCACACTTAAAACTATATGCTTTATCAATTTTTTCAATCATTTCTGGCAGAATGACTTACTTAGCAAGTGATACATTTTAACTTGTACTCATTTGACCACACTGAAAATCTCCAAATTACTTGTAAATTATTCTGACTAAAGGTGCAGATTTACCATAATATTTATTAAGCCTGTATTTAAATTCTTTCACAGTTTTCCCCTTAAAATTAACATTTTTATCAATGTATGAAATTTTTATTTTTCCATCAAAAGCAATAACAAGAAATTGGCAGTCATTCGCAAACTAAATTATGAATTTATTTACAGTGAGATATGCATGCCTTCAAAGCATGGTAAATATGAGAACACCAGGACCAAGATTTCCAGAGTAAATAGGCTATTTGCTAGAGTTTGCATGCATTAATCAAACAACTCCTGTATACATATTTTCAAAATTATCACAGGCAACAGAACTTTTTCAACACAATTCAATATCAGGTTTATCTAGTTTCATACAAACATATAATTTAATACTACAAGTATTACAGATAATAGACTGGAGGAAAATTATACCTGATTTTCAGTAAGTTTTGCTGATCCTTGATAATGAGTCTGAATGGGTGACGCAGAGTTGACAGCATGCACTTTTACATGCGACTCAATGGGCTGGGCTTGAGTTGAAATTGGTTGGGCAAAGAGGTGGAATGTCATACTTGATGAAGCAGGAGCTGTCCCTGGTACAACCAAAATCTCACCAGTGGATGGTGGCAAACTCACTTTCATAGCAGGAAACTGCTTAAGGCCTGATTTCAAATTACTACTTTGATTAGATGACTTTGAATAAAAAGATGGCACCTGTAAAGGAATTTGAGAAGTAGCAACTGTGGTTATAACTGGAGCTACTTGCAAAAGGGAAGATGCATTGTTAGGAACGAGCATATTGGGACCATGTGCTAAATTTGCATTGTTAGACAAATGTTGATGGGAAGAAGTTTTTTGCACATCATAATTTCCTTCAGTATTATTCAGAACTTCAGGATAAGGTTGACTTGAATTAGTTGGTTCAGAGAGATATGAAGGCGAATACCTTATATTTGGTTCTGGTGCACCAGAATTAGATCTCAGAGGTCCTTGAGCATGAGTTACAGAAATGCAGCTATTACTAATGTTTTGTGATTTGCTGCTCAAGACATAATTTATCTGACCATCTGATATGCTGGGATTACTCAGTGACCCATTATAGACATTGTTTTGCTTATTGATAAATTTCTGACTTGATATGCCCAAAATGGAAGCATCCACAGTAGACATTTCATTACATGACGATGTCAAATCGGTTTGAATGTTCATATTTTCTCGTGAAAATGGAATGCTGTCATCAGACAAATTTTGGTCAACAGGAGCGGAGACATTACTCTCTGGACTACGCCTCGAATCAATGGTTAAAGATGATCCTTGTTTGGCTGCATGAACTAAATTATGACCTACTTTACTCTGAGATGTGTTAACAGTAGAATAAACTGGCTCTTTGACCAAATTTGATATTAGATTTGACATACTGTCATTATTGCATTCATCTAAGATATTAGCAATGCCATGAACTAAGCCTTCACTGCCACTAGGAGCAGATTTAGGATCTGTATAATTTATTGCACCCACAGAACTTGCATTTTCACTTTCATGTATTGAAGCAGATCCATTATTTGAAGCCACATCCATATCATCTTCATTTTCAGATAGAATGTTAAATGGTTTTGAACTGTTCTTATCTATAAAATGTGATAACTCAGAGCTGATGTCATTCCCTAAATAATAGTTATTAGCTGTTTCATCAGTGGTGCTATTATCCAACACCCTTGCAACAAACTGTTGATTATTATCATTATTCACAACAGAAGAATTATTTTCATTGCTACAGTCTCCTGTATCTTGATTTGAAGAATCTGATGTAAATCTGTCTATCAATGATTGGGGATGGCTATGGATTGGAACAACTTTTAGCTTAGGAAACAGATCAGAATAAGCTTGTCTCACACCCAGTTTATCAACATTGAACATATCACTGGACTGACAACTCTGCAAAAGAAAAACTTTTAAATTAAAATGCATTTCAACTAGCAATCTACTTCACAGAGAGCACTAATCACACAGACCAAATACATCTGAGTGTTATTTACAGAAATTTGAGTATTACAAAAATTATAACTATTTAAACAGTGTTCAATCTAATAGAAATAAATATTATTCTTTTATTTTAGAAGCATGGTAAACATACATGTCATTCTCTGTTATAAGACAGGAAATCCAAGATCATTTTATCCTAATATGATTTGAAATAAACTAACAGAATATCAATTTATTTGATGGCTTGATAATTGGAAGATTCATTTACACCATTACAGGTTTAATGCATAAATAAAAGCTCAACAGCGAATGAGTGGTAAAGGTCGCTGAATACTGGTGGTTTGGCCCGAGATTCCAATCCTGACGAACAGGATGCTGCCAAGCTGCATGCATGTTTTCATTGTTTCCCCCATGTGTAACGTGTACACAAGCCAGTATCTCTTAGAAAGTTCTCCGCGAAGGCATTCCCTTCCCTTAGGCAGAGAGTCAATGAATGCTTTGCCATAATTAAATAAACCAAACCATAAATAAAAAATTTCACATAAAATTGAAAATAATATACCCATTATCTCATACACTATTAGAAGGTCCTATGAATGGTCCCAATTTTTTAAATTTAGACAAGTATATGAAAGCTATCTGTTTAAAGCTCCATCTAAGTTTTTACTAAAGGGCCCAGGAAGTAGAATCTCAAGGTCTTGTATTCCTCTTACCCTATGACTGAACATCTTTCTGCTACTAACAAAAACAGCTCAGAAAAGCTGTACAGGCATTATTCCAACAGATCAATATACATTTGCATGTATCCAATACAGATGATTCAAACTAATACTATATTTTGCTCAATATTCCACAGGCAATAGCTTTTACCTTTCAGTTCAAATACTGTGAAATTTATATAAACACTACACGAATAAGCATAGGACATATAACTTTTACTGAAAGTTCTCCTACTCACATCATGAACATCAATATTAAGGGTTACAAAACCAAAGCCTTTTCTACCTTGAAGACTATCCATAATATTTTAGACTATTCCAAGTGAAAGATTAAACCATTCACACAAAACAGTAATTACAGGTTCTTGCACTCAGCTCTCCTGACACATAAACAGATTTTCAATGTGGGAAGCTACTGAGACAGCCTCCCTCTATGTTTATTTATTCCAGACACAGCAGTCAGAGGCTAAGCAAAAACCAGAGGAAATAAACTCAAACCTTATATCTCCACTTAGACAGACTCTTCACTAAGCACTGACCAAACCTATCCACATATCAGATTGCTATATGCCATATTTTATCTACATACACTCGCTTTATGCCAGTAATATGATCTATTCTGAGAATGACCAGATACAGATACATAAATAACAGTCAAACTCTGGACATCTATTTAAACAACATTCAATTAATGATCTATTGATCTATATATCTAAATAATATATTATAATATATTATTTAATTAATAATATATTTAATCTGTAATTAATAAAAAATAATGAAATTTAACTTACAGGAGATTGATATATTTTCACAGCTACTTCAGAAGCTTGAGAAAGAACATCCAGGGCTGCCTTAGCTGAAATCCTTTTCTTCTTCTTTCTCATAACAGTTGCTGAGTGTATTTCTTTACCTGACTTTTTATTAGCAATATTACTTTGGGGGTAGTCAGAAAATTCTGAAGTATCTCTATAATTAGACTTGTCAAAATTATTTTCTAATTCATCAGAAAGCTTCTGCGATTCTGTTACTTTAGCAATACCTTTCCGAAACATTTTCCAAAGAATGAGACCCTTTTTTGAAAGGTCTGTTTTAAAAGAAAAAAAAATAGTGTCACATGTCTGTTATAAAAAAATTTTCATTTTTAAATGCAAACTGAGGGAAATAAAAAATAACTTAATCGGTAAAGGATACATATTAAATTTAGTTAATAATTTCTAAAACAAGTATTGTTTACAAAAATGGAAATTATCATATGAAAAGAGAGAAGAGAAAAACAATAAAAGAACTTCTTACATAAAACAGCAAATTTTGATAATCATCTTATAATTTGACTTTCTGGTCTTAACAATTACTCCTTTCAATTATGTTTCTTAAAAATTAAAAATTTATCAGAAGAGCAATTTGCTTCACACTAATAAACACATTTTACTATTAACTTTTCTTTTGACTAATTTCAGAATGATTTCATTTGATGACAAAAATACTTTACACATAAAAATTCATAAAAATATAAATTTTATGTACGGCATTTTTTCATTTCTTTAACTATAGCATAGTATAATAAAACAGAATTGCACTCATTACAGTCTTCCTCAAAACACTAACTTTTCTGTATTGTAAAAACATATAATTTTTCTTCTTAAGTAGAGACTAATACTAAAATTCTTCTTCTAAACTATTCTTGTCCACTTGCCAGATTAACAAAAGCATTTCGACAAATATTTTTCATCATTTTTTCTCAATCACAATTTAAACACTTCTCTTTTCTAAAACTATTTTTTCTATCTGACATCTACATAGGTGTTTATAAATTTTAAAAGAATTATAAAATTCTGGAAAGTTTCCAGATTGATTTAGAAATTGACAGATGTTGGCAAACGGGGTAGTTCAGAGAATGACTAATAGATAACAACAGAATGCTGCAACAATAAAGAAGGAAACAGTGCAAAGATGGCTGCTCTATTATTTATATGCAATGCGTTAGAGTAGCAATCTTTGGTGTTCTTTTTTACTTCCTTGTACAAAGTCAAAAGGAAGTATTGTAATTGCGAAAAGCTTCAGGCCGTATATTTCAACGAAAATATCCACTTTGACCGCTTTTGAATGAAATTTAGCGATGTTTTTTCATGATATCTGTACGTTAGGACAGAATAAAACACTCTTTTCCTCCAAAGAAATTATAAAACTGTTTTAAAATGAATTCTGAAGGGAATTTTTCGTGGTGTCTGTACAAACGTATGTACGTACAGGCGTACGTACATATCTTGCATAACTCAAAAACGAGTAGCCTCAGAACGTAGAAATTTTGTATATAAGACTACTATAACATGTAGACGTGCACCTCGTATTTTGGTTTCAATCGGCCGCGCCAAACGTATATAAATATATTATAAATATATATATTTATATACATTTGGCGCGGCTGATTAAATATATATATTATAAATATATCCACTCTGTTACGTGGCTCAGTGATCTCAGTTTCTTTACTCTTACATGTTTGTAAATTGTACATTTTTTTGCTTTAAAAATGATTTAAATTATGTTGTTTTTATCTTCCGGTTAAGGTTTTTATGCCTTTAGTAAATCTGTATGCAATATTTTTAGAACTAATCAACAATTTTAAAATTGTTTAAGTTGCCGCTAAGCCTAATTTGATGGCAGCCATTGCTTTGCTTTTTACATTTGAAACAGCTGAGTAGCGGATTTGTTGCCAATCTAGAGAAACTTAGCTTCGCAACAACAAAGATAACGCCTTCATTTATTATTTAAATCATGCTTAATCCTTTGTGGTATTTTTTCGAGGAAATAAGCGTTTAAGATTTACTTCGTAATTTTTTATACATATATTTTGAGTTTTTATGTATTTTTGCCTTGTCACGAAGTGAAAACTGAATTAAATGAATGAGAAGTACTCAATCGTCTGTGAAAAACTGTTTCTTTTTTGTTTTATTTGCTTAATTTCTTTTATACATAGTTCTAGCTTTATTATAGTATTTGAATAGAACATGTGGCAACGATTAGATAATTCTTTAAATGATATAAATTTTGTGCATTCTGAGTTATAATATGAACGAAACATAATACTGTTAAGTAAACCTAGCGCCAGGTGTCGCTATGGTAAACAAAGTGCATTTTAAAGAATGCATTTATGCTATTGTGGTTTATGCGCTGTCGGCGAAGTAGGTTTAATTCAATCTAATAAGTTTAAAAGAAATGCAAGAAAAAATGCGTATAATTTAATATTCCACACAAGGAAGTCATGTGGTGTACACATCAGATTTTTTCTGTGGTGAAAATGCTAAACCAGTTGAAATTCAAAGAATGAAAGCACAATATGCTGATTCATGCGTGTTCCTGCAGCAAGTACATGGGTAGTGTAAAAAGTTTAACACTGTCACTTCTGCAGAGGACACCCCATGACCAGCTCAGACAGACCATATAGTGACAAATGAAACCATTAATGTAGTTGAAAAATTTGTGAAGGGAAACAGCATATTATTGTCCAGGAAATAACCAATCATTTTAGGCATTAGTATTGGTTTGGCACACACTACTGTCCATAATGCACTGCAATTTAATAAAATATTGGCGAGATGGCCACCACATCAGTTGAATATTGGAACTGAAAATTTGCTGCTATCCGTGCCTGTGAGGAATTTTTGCAGTTTCTAGGTGATAGATTATGGACTTCTAGAAAGAACTGTTATAAGAAAGGAATCTTAGTTGCATTATCATCAACCTGAAACAAAACGTTTTACAGTAAGACAAAAGTGCTATAGGTCACTGTCAAAATCCAAAGAGTTTTGCTCTCTTTTAGAATAAAAATGGGGTAATTTTAGAACATACACAGAAAAAGGAAGTAACAATGACCTGCACTTATTCTGCAGATCTTCTCTAAAATCATTTGAACAGGTGTATTGTTGCTGCATCACAATGTCCAACTGCATACTGCTCGGTTAACAACTGTAAAAACTCAAGGAATGAAATCTGAATATTTTACACTCCAACTTATCACACCCCATTAAAAATACTAAACGAGTCCAAATTACTTCATACAAGATTTTTGTTTATAGTTCATGTTCTGTTTGCAGATAATCAATCTTTTTATTTGATATAAACAATAATTTAAAATACACAACTTCCAACATATTTTAATACTCCCCCCCTTTTTTTTTCCAAATGCTGCTCACAATTAATATTGTAATTAATGCAAAAATTGAGCTATTAAACAATATATTGAAAACAGACAAATTCCTACATTAAGTTCAGAAAAATTAGCTCTGCAAATTTGAAAAAAAAAAATCATTACCACTGTGTTCTCCATTATATAGTTGGCAATTGGAAACCATTTTGCGGAAATCTTCATCAATATCCCCAATTGTTTGATAATCGCCATCATAGAATTTTGATTCTATTATACTTAAAGCAACAGGATCCTGAAAGTAACAGTAAAATTTAAGCAACATAATTTAAGCAACATAAATTAGCAATTTAAGCAACATAAAAAATTAAAGCTGAAAATGAACAAAAATATTTTTAATATATTAAAAATTGCACTTACTTTGACAATATCATAATAACCAGGTGCTAATGCTTCAGTAACAGGAAACAGAAAAGGCCAAGCATCTTTGTGAAGTTTGACTTCACTCAAGACTAAACAAAAAATAAAGATTGAAAATATATTATATATAAAACACATAAAAAATATTTTCTAACATTTACAAATAGCAATTAACACTATATATATATATATATATCTATATATATATTATATATATATATTTAGGTCTATGAACTTAAATGACATTCCTGTACAATTAAAAAATTTTATATTAAATCTATATTTTACATTAGTGGTTGCCAAAGTATCCAAAACAAGCAACAAGTCGAGAGATTGTTTGGTGGGTTATAAAAAATTCTGAAGGATTGATTTTCTTTATTTTTTATATAATTACATACATTTATTCATAATTATTAAGTTATTTATAAATAGAAACTGAACTAGTAACAAAAGTCAAGATTACTAGTTACTTAAAATCTTTTAGAATTTTAGCTCTTCTCTTTTTTCTGCTCAGCAACTTACATTATCACTTAAAAGAGTTCATATAATTTAATGTTTACAATACAACAGAATAATTCAGTAATTAAAAATTTGCTAAATTCCCAGCTTATAGATATAAATATACATTACATATTTACCACAAATGTACAAGAGTTAATTTTTACCTCTTTTGTTTATTGGTAATTTATTACAAAAAGGATATTCCATAAGAAATTTCTATATGGTAAATTACAAAATACACTTATTTGAAAAACAATGTTTTACTTATTATTAAACACACCTTATTCTCTATCAACTAAACTAGACAAAGAAACTATTCTAATTTATCTAACACTTAAAAGTAACACATACGATCTCATTTTTATTGAACTAAAATTAAACAAATTATTTTTTATTTGTAAACAAAAAACACATAACTTACTTTATTCAATTAAAATTTTACCAAGAGTCTTTAAATGACATAAAAGTAATAAAATAAGCAATATAATAAAAATTAATTATTCAGTAAATTTTTGTTCTTACAATTTGTAATAACTTATAATTTTTAATAAAAAAGTTATTTAAATATATATATATATATATATATTTTTTTTTTTTTTTTTTTTTTTTTTTTTTAAGAAGCATGTAAATAAAACAAGCAGCTCAATTTTACCTAGCCTGCAAAGAACAATCTGGATAATTGGAGCTCTACTGTAGTCATTCTGTACATTTTTATTATTACAAAGTACAGTTATAAGATTTAAAAATTTATACATACGTTGTCCAATTTGTGTCTTCAAATCTTCATTGTTATCACTGCAACAAAAAAATAAAGAAAAAGTTATAGCAATATACTTTTTAAAAAGTATAATACATTAGAAACGATATAAAGTACCATATATTATTGAAATAATGTTCTGAAGAATGCAATACTTTTAATCCCTATATAAGCAACAGATATAAAATTGTCATAAGATATTCTATGTTCATTAGTATTTTATGAGAACATCTATGATAAATTGTTCTCTAACTTTACAACTCACAAACTGCATGAAAAAGAAAAACTTTTGACCAAGCAGAATTAAAGTTATTGCAAATTTCTCTAATAATGCATTTTAAGTTTAAAGTACCATTTTACACTGTTAACTGTGCCAACCTTACACCATGAACTATGCAAAACAGGGTAACATATATCTCTTCAATCCAGACACATAATGAAAAAGTGCTGAATAAACAAGAAGACAAAGTTCTAATACAGCATCAAAATGGCACTGCTCCCAAAGATCATACCAAAAGAAAAGATGAGAATTATTCACTTTTTTAAACCGTATATTTTTTCTAAAATAGTAATGCACAGTTATATTTTTTAACAATGATGTACCTTAAGCAGTAATTGTTTAAAATGAGCAGTAATAAACAGTAATTAAACATCTTAAACAGCATATTTAATAAACTATTCATTCATAATAATTTGCTTAACACTGAAAAATGAACTCTTAAAATAATTAGGACATACTGTAAAAAAACTACGAATTTATTATTTATATACAATCCATTATTAAATTATATATTGAGTTAATTCATGCAAAATTTATTTTTACATAATAATTTACATTTTTAGTAAACATATATGATAACTAAAATAAAATTTAAATAATATATAAAAACATAAAATGTACAATATGTTGCTGGAATGTAATAAATTCTATAGACGTGAAAAATTGTTTTTAAGGGAGAATTAATATTTCATCTCTATCATTTTACCTCATCATGGGAATATGCGATCGATGGTATTCATTTAATTCAGGGAAAGGTTCTGAATCTATGTTTTCAGTACTATGATTCAATTTTCGTCTCTTAAATTTTCTTTCTTCTTTCATTAAGCTTTCATTTGCACGACCTACAAAGATTCATATTTTCAAACATTAAATATATTGGAACATAAGTGAAATGGAACTTATTTTAGATACAATATATAAATATAATTGATCAATTCAGTAATCTTTAAGTAATATATACTTCTAAAACTGGGACTTAAATAAAATGGTAAAATTGGCTCTATTCTAATAAGACAAATATTAACATGTAAAATGGAGATTTATGTGCAGCTAAGATTAAAATTTAAAAAACTAAATAACATAAAAAAGTTATAAATAAAAAACAATTTCATTTCTGGATTTAAGCATAAATTTTGATTAATGTTTATTTTTAAATAAATTTTACTAATTTCACAAACTAAAACCTACTAAAAAGTAATTTCACAAAATTTTGCGAAATACTCTTTACATCTAAACATTTAGCTGCTCTTAAAACCAATTTTTTGCATTTGCACTGGCAACACTATATCAAATATGCTACATTACATCAGATCATATGACCATACATACAACATTATATCAGATCATATGACCAATAATAGCCAAGGATCCTAGGTATTATTAAACTACCTTTGGGACAGATACAGTGGTGGCCAAAATTAAGGACGCTTTTGGAAATTTTTATGTTTTTGAACTTTGTATGCTTGTAGAAAACGTTACGTTTCACAAAATGCAAACTTGTATATATCATTTTAAAGAGAATTTATTACTGAATTCAGTACAAAACACAAAATTCAATTATTTACAATACAAAAAAAGTTAAACAATAATAGTTATCGATATATATTAGATAGTGATGATTGCAGTGAGTTAACAGTACTTAGTAAGGTCCCTTCATTGTTTATTAGCTTCACATTGACGTTTCATTGAGCTGACAAGAGTTTTAAGCTCTTCTTTCCTTATTACATGATGCCAAGAAACAATTATAGCCTAAATTAGTTCCCTTTTATTTGATGGGTGCCTCATTCGGACAAGTTTTCAAACGGTGCCACAAATTTTCGATAGGATTGAGGTCAGAACTGTTTCCTGGCCATGACAACCTTTGTAAGAAACCACTCTTTTGATATTTTGGCCGTGTGGCAAGGAGCAGAATCCTGCTGAAAAATAAACGAAGCATTGTTGGGAAAGAGATCTCTGATGGAAGGTAGAAGTTTTGGTTCTAGAATAGTGTCAATGTATTTTCTGGCATTCAGTGTCCCATCGATGACATTAGGCGACCAATACCATCTGCTGACATGCATGACCAAATCATAACACTAACTGGGTTCTTCACAGTTGCTTGAATGCAGTCAGGATGTAGCTCTTCTCCTATTCTACGTCTTACATATTTTCGCCCATCACTACCGAATAACGATATCTTAGTTTCATCACTCCATATAACTTGTGGCCACTGATCATCTGTCCAATTAATGTGTTCCTTTGCCCACCGTAGTCTTTTTTTCGTTGCTGAAAATTAAGATTAAGGCTTTTTTCGTGGAATTCTACCTCTCAGTCCAACATCTGTTAATCTTCTCCTGATTGTTCTTGAACTGACACAAACACCAGCATCATTCAGATCACTTCTGATGACCGTTGATGACATTTTTCTATCTTGGAGACATAGTCTTTTTATTCTTCTGTCATCAATAGATGTGGTGCACCTTTTTCGGCCTTTTCCTTCTTTGTTCTTTCATTGAATTTGTCTCCTGATATCGTAAACAAAACTTTCGGACACCAGATGTAGTCATTGAACCACCCACCTGTCTTGCAATTTCAGCATAGGAAAGACCACTTTCTCGTAAGACAATAATATTACATCTCTTTCTAGGTGTCCAATCTACTCTTTTCTTTGATGTCATTGCTTCTTCACTAAGTATTAAAAATTTTTACAAAAATTCCTACTTGTAATTGCAGTGTATAAGAAACAGGTCCTCCTTCTAGAAAACAAAGCAAAATAATGAATTGTTTCAAGTGTAAATATGATTTCAGCTTCTACTGGCACTTACTAACATTTGATTGGTTCTCAGAACAAGAACAGTGATTGGCCAGGAAAGCTAGACATTACAAACCACTTCATAACTGTGTTTTTTATTTATATTAAAGTACATATAACTTTTTTTAATTGCAAATAATTGAATTTTGTGTTTTCTATTGAATTTAGTAATAAATTCTCTTTAAAATGATATATACAAGTTTGCACTTTGCGAAACGTAACATTTTCTATAAGCACACAAGGTTCAAAAACAAAAATTTCCAAAAGTGTCCACAATTTTGGCCACCACTGTATATCAGTGTTTGTATTAATTTTTTATGTAAGACAAACTATAACAATTCCTATAATTCTCTACTAAAATCATTTTATTTAATTAAATTATACCTCTAGTAAAAAGATATTACTTTATAATTTACAGAACTTTAAAAAAAAATTACAACACATTTTAATAACAGTTCTTTCACATATAATCCCATTATATGTGAAATTTATAAATCCTATCTTATACCATTCAGTTGCCAATATTTTCATTATATTATCAGGGCACTTTATCTAAATGATAAATATAGTTATCATCACAGGTAATCAGCATTTATGAAAAAAAATAACAATAAAGAATTCTGAAACTCTCAATGGCCTTACAATACAACTGTCGGCCAGCTATATAAGCTTTAAATAAAAATATATCCCAAATATGGAAAAAATTAGTCTTTTGTGTTAGATTTTTTGTCCTAAAAAGTGCAATTTTAAAGATACAACTTTAAAGAAAATGCAAATGACACATAAGAAGCTTTACGTTTTCGTTCTTCCAAACGACGTGCTCTTTCCCTTATCAGATGCTCTTTGTGAGGATCTTCATTGATATAATCATTCTGCTGCTCAGCAGCCTCCCGTTCTTTCTGTAAAATAGTTATGATTTAAAACCTTAACAATCATTTATCATTCAAGATAAAATATAAAGTTATGAAATGTATTTTATATAAATCTCAAAAAATTGTTTTTATAAAAATCAACTAAATCCAAATACATTCACAAGAGATTTAAATACAAACAGCAGAATCTTCCAATACTGCTGATACAGAAACACATTATTTTAAATGTCACAGTCTCATATGCACGGCAACAAAATATTGATATCCCTACCTATAGTTAGAACACATTAAAAACAGAAATTGCTGAAGATAAGTTCAGTATTACTTAATTTGATAATTATGATTATAAAATGCAAGTTAACAACATTGTGCAGAAGTTCAGAATGCCCCATAGTGGTAATTATGTGGTCAGAGTCAGAACTTTTTATGTGAGAAATATGATTTTATACATGAATTACCAGGTTCATCAGCTAACTGTTTATGTTATTAATTTGTTACCTATTTATTAAATTAAAGTCTAGAATGACTGAAATATTTCACATGGTCATGATTATTAAAATAACACATTGAAATATCAAAGCCCTCAAGAATGAAGAAAATGATATTAGAACTGAAAATCAGATAAAAGCAACAGGAAATTACAAAACATCGAAAAGAAATCTGCATAAAAGTGCTTCTGAAAGGAAAAAATATTTCTAAGGGAGATATTTAAATAGCAACAAGAACAGTAAAATATGACTAAGAAAATCTTGAGTAAAATAAAAAAAATAAATATAAAAAAAAATTATACCAATTATAGATAATTATATTTATTGTGATACATGATAAAATGGCTACATAAATTTTTACATGATAAAAATTCTTTCTCAAAACTAACCATCTCTCTTTTTCTCGTTTCCCGCCTTGTCACAATATGATGGGGAATAAGTTCACGAATTTTCTGCTGCAGCTTTCTTTCCTGTATAATAAAAAACAAAGTTATTAAAATAACTTTCTTGGTTCGAAAACAATCCTCCATATATTTAAACAATAATTTAAAAAAAATTCAATGAATAAAGAATATTAAGAATTTTAAAATCCCTAAATACAAAACAGCAACATGCAAATATTAATTTATCTGATTACATCTAAATCTTTTTAACTTTTAAAAGATGGTGATATGAAATGACAGAAAAATATATAAATAAATAAATAAGTGTATATTGGGGTTTTTTTCCCACATTTCCTTAGAATTGTTTCAAAATAACACCATATTAAAATTATTATAGTTATAATAATAATTCAAACACAGTTATCAAAAAATGTGGAAAGAAGTAACATACAAACTCTGGACATCTCAAGTGATTAAAGCGATATTATACCAAATGAGTGAAATGGGTGCATATATCTATTGTCTGTCAGATCTATTGTCTGTCTTATTGTCTTTGCTATGATATTCTTTAAGTACTTTTTATAATGCTGCTAACAAAATTAAGATACAATAAACAATAACAAATTTAATTTTTGTTATCCTGAATTGATTTTTATACAAGGAAACCTATCCACATTATTCTTTATTTTAGTGTATTTTAATACTTTTTTTTAACATGGTATTGCATGGAAAATATACACCACATAAAAAGAAAACGCAGTGAATATTAAAATTTTAAAGAGTACTGTATATATAATATTTATATTTGTACAGAAGCCTTTGATTATAATACAAATTATATAATATATTACTTTTTAGTATAATAAACACAATTAACTTTTAAACATGTTACTACACACCTAACAGTAAAAAATTATTTTAAAGCCATATAATATAAATAAAAAAAATTATACCCATAAACAGTAGTGTAAAATATTAAATTATACAGAGCTTAAAGTTGTTTTAATACCAAATTTTGTTCTCCTGAGTGAATCTTTCTCATTGCACAGTTTTTTATTTAGTTTCCAATCTCAAATCACTGCATATTTAAAAAAAGAAAAAAAAAAAAAATCCTCCCTCCCACATTTTAACTTCTTTGCTACCAGCTTGTCATTTATGATATGATTCAGTTTCCCCCTATCAACCCACCGTACCTAATGTGATAAAGGAAGCGTCAGTGACAGTCCACCGTATCATACTTCAGACACTGAAATAGAACATTTTCTTTCAAATTTTAAATTCATATAAATTATGTCAGAATGCTGGGAAAATTTAATGAATGGAATCTATAGAATGTTAGTATTGTTGTGATGAATATTATTTATTATTTTATTCTATGGAAGTAAAATGGAACACTCTAATAATGCATGCGCATAATTTAGAAATGTTTTCTGGAGTGCAAGCGACTCAACACTATTGCAGGTAAATATGGCAACAGTACATAAGAAGCACATATTTTAATTCTTTTTACTTCATTATTGTGCAGAATTAATTTAAATTTGGGAATAGAATCATCAGTACTAATATTGCACTCATTCTGAATTTTTATTTTTAAGTAAATAAATGTATGAATCCAAATATTTAGATAAAAAGTAGCTTCAATGAGAATTCACATTTTCACTAGAGAATTTTCACACTTTAGGTCTAATTACAAAATGTGCTTGAGCATACGATGATATTCAGAATTCCGAGATCACACACAAGACAGAATTTGTTCCCTTGACTTTGAGGTGAAGAGGATAAGGGAAAATTTCATTTTCTTGCAGTTAAAATAGGCTGAATGCATACAAATGACATTTCTCACTATTTATAAGTCTTCATGGTTTTTAATAAAATAAGTGTATAGTTAGTTATAAATGATGGTATTAAATAAAAAATTACGAAATTTCACAATTAATAATATTTTTAATAAATTACTTAAAATTTTTGCTGATATATAATATAAACAGAATTTTAAGAAGTCAATCTAAAATATTCTTTGTTTGCTATTAGGAGACCTTGTCAATGAAGTAAGAATCTTAATATAACAAAGATTATCCTGAACTAGAACATTATATGCAATTTTCTTTACGCTCAAACACTAACTTTAGTCATTGAGAACTAGATTGGTCACTTATTCTCAGTAAATCTCATAAAATTTTAGAATTTAAAATTATGATTAATTTTAGATATGTTCAAATCTACAATTTTACACGGTTCAACAATTTAATAAAAATTGCAATTTAAAAGTAAATACAAAGAGTGTACAGTTTAATTTCTTCAAAAGAAACATTTTCTAGAGTAGCGATCTCCAAAGTATTCTTATTGCATATCTTGAAAATAACTATTAGTTTTACTCCAGATAATATAATGTAACATAACATTCCATGAAGATATATTCTTCTTGAATGTTCAGAGGTATTTTCCCTCCAAAGGTTCGTTTTCACAGTTTATGAATGCATTGGGTTTTTGTGTTGATTCGGCGTGTCTCACATCTTAGGCTTGAAAACTGCAATCTTGTTGAAGGTATTCTGTTCTGAGCTTTTTAGTATTGGTCCATGTATTCTTGCCGTTCTAGGCAGGTTAGTCATGTTTTTTTTAGTATGAATTTCTGTCGTTATTGTGGTTTTTTAATTGTTCGAAATTTATTTTAGTTTATTTTGTTCATTAGTGCGCAATGCCTAGATTGTGCAATTCGTAGATGTTTTTTAAAGTTTAAACAGAACGCTGTGTACACGGTATTCTTGAAGCTTATTATTATGTTAATTTATTAAAGCGAGGTGTTCGTAGATTATTCGTTCGTTACCTAGATAACAGGATGCTGTGTACATGATATTCTTTGAAATTTAATATTGTTATGCTAATATATTAAAAAGTGGTGTGCGTAGTTCGCTATTTTGTTTCGTTGTCCAGATTGTGCAATTCGTAGATTTTTTTAAAGTTAAATCATATCGCTGTGTACATGGATTCTTGTCAGATATTTTTGGTTAGAAACTTTACGTTTTTGCTATATAAATTTTTTGTTTTTATTTCAAATTTTTAGCTTAAATTGTGTGTTTAAAACATGGTTTTTGCATGTGCGAAAACCGCGTTTTGGGAGACATTTTAGGCTTAAAGTTCGAAATGTAGATGTTACGGTGAAACACCGAAATTTGGAGAATGTCGACTTTCACCGGTGAATGTCAACATTCACATAGTCACTTGGTGTATGTCCGAAATATTTTCCAAATACTCTTATTTCTGACTTACACCGGTCAATGTCGACATTCACCATGTACTAATGGTGAATATTGAACATATAAGAAAGTTATATTTTTTTCTTCTCCGTAATTCAATCGCGAAAAAAACGCACTTTTTTGACTTAAAATAAGAACTTCAGAATATTAGAACTTAAAACACACAGTACATTCAAAATGAGAAAGGAGAATGATAGAAGTTTAAAACTTATTAAATTATGTGATTCAAATGTTATTTATTGCAACAACTTAAACTATTATGACACTTTGAATTGCACAAGAGGCCCTTGCTTTTGCAATTGCATTTATTTGCGGAACACTTCCTTTTGCAATGACAGCGTGTACATATACTCCTCTGTTTTCGACCTACACCAGAGCATATCTGTGATTGTCGACATACACCGGTGAGGGTCCGAATGTACAAGAATGTAATGCAATATTCGATCTTTCGCCGACAGTTCTTCGGATGTTGGAAATTCAGTAGCTGTAAATTGTGAGATATTGTATGAGTCTGCAAAACATCACCGTTTCGTTTTGACCTCGAAGGCAGCATGTTGTTCCCGTGGGTCTCTTTTGAAGTTTTTCTTTCAGTTTTTTTAAAGTATTTTATCGGGGTACAGTGTTGTCAGAAAATTTTCAACTAAAGTAGCAAAAGAAGACTCAAAAAGTCTCCAAAAATGGCAAATGACGTCAGAGATCACGGAAGTTTGACGTCATAGTTACGCAGGCTCATATGACCTCTGATGTCATCACAAATTTACCGTCTATTGGTTCTGTAAGTTACAGACTATTCAATTCTTAGTCTTTTTAATTACATAACTTAGCTTTAACGAAAATTTTAAAACTATATTGCTCATTTTCAGTTGTTTATATATCCATTTCTTTTTTAATTAATTCTCATTTAATTTAGTTTCAATTTTTAAATTAATTTGCAGATATCCATTCTTAAGAGATTCCTCACGTTTAGACTGTTAGCTCTTTTGTATTAAATTTTTTTAGTTGGCAGTTAATTTTTTAATTTATTTTTTTTTTTTGCTTAATTGTAAACAGTTTATTTGAGGCATGCTTTTTAGTGAGTTTTCCGTTCTGTGTGGTGGATCTGTTTCAGATCCTGATTACTTAAAGAATTTTTCTTTCACTGTTAAATTTATTTTTCTTGTTATTTAGAAAAATGCCGTTGCTTTCATTTTCAAGTCATTTCCATTGCTTAGTTCTTAGCAATATTATAATCAGGAGTATGAATTTATTTCTCTTTTGGGTACCCAATATATGGCGCGCAAGCTGCAAGTTCTTTGATTCGATTCATCATCACCACAGAGCTCGGGGGGGGGGGCTGACTGAAAAACAAAATTCACGGGGGACTAGGGAGGGTGGTGAGAGGTCCCGAAGAATTTTTTTTCTTTCTTTTTACTTTTTTCACTTCCCTTAGCCCCTTTCTTGTTATACCAGCATCAGGCTGTGTAGTCTTGAAAATGGAAGCCCACATCTAAATAAGATTGCTAGATGTCAACTTCTATTTTAAGCCTAAATAAACTATTTTTAATATATATATTTAATTGATAAATTATTTTAAAATAAAAGCATTTTACGATATATTAAAATAATCTTTGAAGTCGCAAAAAGTAGCATAAGAAAATGATAGATTTCGCAAATACTAAAATATTAGTAGCACAGGTTCGTCAAAAGTCGCAAATTTGTGCAATATCGCACGATCTGGCAACAGTGTCAGGGTACTACATTCTCAGATGATCCTCCAGCTTGGATGGTTTCATAGAGCCATTGCTTAAGACTTTGCACACTTTGTTAAGACGGCACATGGGCAGGTGGTTGCCCTACAATGAAGG